ACTGTGTGGAATTTCATATTATTATGTAATAGTTGCAAGCTTTTCTCAGGAAATGTTTATTTGAGTTGCAGCGTGTCTCTCTGATCGTGGATTGTTCCACCAGGTTGGAAATGTCTGCTGAACTGTTGAGACAGAAGGAGCTAGAGAACCTCCACAGGCAGCGACTGCTGGTGGACCCGCTGGGCCTGCATCCTGGGCTCCCTGCAGAACACCCTGCCTTGCGCAGCCTGCAAGAAATCCCAGAGGGCCACCCACTCCGAGAAGAACTCAATCGCCGCAACGCCATGCTGGTTTTGCGGCACACCAACACCCCATTACTCTCCCTCAACCACCAGGGGGCAGCAGCAGGCACTTCCTCTAAAGACCTTAGCAACAGGAAGAGCTTGAGGAAAGGAGGACCACTCAGAGGGGACCAACAAGGGGGTTCAGCTGAGACTAAAGAGATGCTCGGGGAGGGCTGTACACGGGACGGAGAAACAGAGGGACAAGATGAAGACATGAAAGACTTTGAGAATGATGCAGAGGTTGGGGAAGACAGGCATGAGAGGCTTTCCAAAGTTGACGGACATGGTCTCGGTTCAGAGGTGTGCCAAGGCAAGGATGTGACCAAGTCTAGTGAAGCAGTGAAAGAGATGGGGGAGGGGTCAGGAAGGCTCAGTGCTCCTTGTAGCTCCACTGGCCAAGAGTCACCAACCCACCACCTCTTCACATCAGGACTGAGCAAGAGTGAGGCCAAATACCTGCCACCAGGAATCCCACCCTTACCTGGACAAACACTGCCCTTCACCTTTCCATACACCAGCCCTTACTTTCACACTGGTGAGTTTACAGCTGTTTAACATCCATATAACAAAATCCAGTCACATCCAATAAGAGGTACTGTATTTTAGAGACATTTAGAGACAATTTTCATATTTAAAACTCCTCCGATTCCAGTTCAGCAACTCACCCAATGCACTCCTTATTTGAAAGAAACATACACAGCACTAGTGTTAGTGACACCATATGCCAGCTCCTCAACTTTAACAATCTGTAAAATCTGGAGTTCAAATAGTATTCCTTGTCCTCAGAGAGACAGAAAGAGTGAGTGAGAGAGTTAGAGAAATTGAGCCCAGAGTGCAAGCAAGCCCAGAGCAAGTTTTAATGGAAAATGAGGCTCCTAATGAGGAAGTGACCAGCTCAGAAAGAGGCTGAACTAACCCTCCTCAGGCATTCTAGCAAATACTGAACATGCAACATTTTGGCTCACACACAAAAACGCACCAGTATACCAACATACAAGCCTCATCGTACCATTGATAGGATGAGACAAAAAGCAAACAAGACAGCTATGGACACAAACAAAACTTCTTTAAAAAACAAAAATTCTGTCATTGTTTACTGACAAAATTAATTATTTACCATAACATGCAGGTTTTTCTTGTACCTATAGATTAAGTGTATGGCATTCATAGCTGTCAGGTTCTATAAAGAACAAAAAAAAAATACTATAAAGTACCATAAAAGAAGTCAGGAACATATAGTTGGGGTTGTTCCTCAAAGTTACTTTCACAAACAGGTACTTTCACTGGTACATTTTGGCGCTTGACAGCCACGATCATCATCCACTTTTGTTGAATGGAAAAAAATAGCCTGAACAATATCTTTTAGATATCAACATCAAAGAAGCATACAAGGTTTAGCCAGTAAAGGCAAGTAGCTGAAGTTTTTGTCCCCACCTAACTAATGAGTGCAGAGCAACCTCGACCATCTGAAACACATTACCTGCTCCAACTGAGAGACCTCCCCCAGGATGGGGCCCTGTCGCTGACCTTTACTAAACTCTGTAATAGGCAGGGTCAATAACAGAGCGGTGTGTAGGCGCAAGCGTGCGTGTAAGGGGACAGGGGGCCTTCTGTCTCTAATGATTTCTGCTTCCTCTCGGCCCGGCGGGCCCACAGGCGCCATGGGAGGTCTTTTCGTGGACGGAGAAGAGGCAGGAGCAGCCGAGGACATCAGCAAGTGGAGTGTGGAGGAGGTGTGCAGCTTCATCAGCAGCCTAGCAGGCTGTGGGGAGTATACACAGGTGAGGACAAGAGCAGGAGCAGAGCGTTGGACGCCTCCTCTCCTCCCCCTGCCTTTAAAAGGGGCTACTGGAGACATACTGTACAGCACAGAATGAAGATCACGTGCTGCAATTTGTAGACAAGAACATTAGACCAGAATAGCTTGATTTAGATGTTTCTAGAGTGCACTTTAAAAAGTTAGAAGGCCGCTCTGCGCTGCTCTTATCTTTCTCACTCACAGCTCTGTCTCACACATCTCACCATACTGGATGTTGGTCTGTCGCATGCACAACGCATCGCCAAAACCCCACCGTCGACTGCAGCGCACCTCATTTCACTGCAAATGCTGAGTGTGCATGAGCCTCCCCGTGGAATGAGAGTCACATGAATTGTGTGCATGTGGAGTGAATTGGTGAATGTTCATCAACATCATCTGAAGCCAAGTTATCTATTTCAGGTCTTCAGAGAGCAGGCCATTGACGGCGAGACTCTGCCACTGCTGACGGAAGACCACTTGCTCAACAACATGGGATTGAAACTAGGGCCTGCCCTCAAGATCCGCTCTCAGGTAAAGAAAAGACCTGCTGTTAAATCCTGCTCCTGTAGGGCCCTTGTCCTGTAGAGTTTCATGCAGACCTTACTTTGACCTTACTAGAAATTGAGTAGCTGATTCAGGTGGGTTTAAATAGCTGTAAATAGGGCATAGCTACACTCTACAGGACAATAGCACTCCAGGAGAATGACTGTACCGAGGACAAGAAGTTGCAATAATAGTGGGCAAATATACCATAGAGAAGTGTGGGCAACTGTCCTCACTGTCCTTCAGAATTTAGCTCCAACCCTAATCAAATGCACATGAACAAGCTAATCAAGGTCTTCAGGATTACAGGTGAGTTTGAGCAGGGCTGGAGCTAAACTCTGTAGAACAGGGGACTTGAGTTGCCCATCCCTGCCACAGGGCAAATGTGTACTATCCTGATTCTTGAGGGCCACCTTCCTGAGTTTAGCTTAAACCTTAATTAAACACACATGAACATGCTAATCAATGTCTTCAGGATCACTGGGCAACATCTGGGCAGGTGCGGTGGATAAGGTTGGATCTAAACTTTGCACTGAAGTGGCCCAACAAGAACAGGAGTCTACACTCTTGACATAGAGTCTCCAAATGTGGTTCCCCCAGTAACTGCATACAGTACCAGGGGGGGCCCACAAGATGGTCTGTAATAAATGACCAGATTAGAACTTCTGGCCAGAAGGTATTTGTAATTTTTACACCTGCGGGTCCACTTTCATTATCTTAGCCCACGGCCCCAATAACCTATAAATAGGACCACCCTTTTTGTCTTTGTTTCTTCATGTGTAATCACATTTCTACATTCAGTAATCTAAACAGACATGAAAGCAATCATCTTGTATCACTGCTACTGTACATCCTTGTGCACTTCCTGTTGGGTGTACAGTGTGAGAAATAACACTGGCATGTGGCTGCTTTCCTCAGGTGGCACGACGTATTGGCAGAATATTCTACATGACCAGCTTCCCGCTGGCCCTCCCGCTGCCGCCATCTGCTCTGCGCCCCACAGACAGAGACCCCCTGCCCACCGAGACCCGCCCTCCTTCTACCGGCAGCACTTCCTCCCCATTCAGCGTGCCCCCTCCTGCCTGCCGCGCCTCCCCCAAACAGGAGAACGGAAACCCCTCCTCAGCGGGAGCTTACGACTCCACTAAACCTCCCTCGTAGAATTGGCCATTAAAACTATTGACTGCTTCTCCATATGGCAGAGGCAGTGCTTCAGGGAGGAGGTAAACACGGAGAGAGGACATAAAGGGGGCCCTCTTTGAACTATTCTTTCCTTCCTCTTACCCCCTTTACCCTCCCTCCCAAAATAAAAAGCAAACTTGAGGACCTTTATACAGAGGCACTTAATCTTTTTAGGAAAAGTGTGGAGAAATGTGCAGAAAGAAGAGACACTGAAGAAATGACACGGGCTAAAACAGCTCCACCCTTTGCAGCGGCTGTGTGGAAGCCAAAATCCAAAGATGTGCAAATAGGGACTTGGGGACGAGACAGGAAGCGTTAGTGTGCGAGAGATGAACGTGAGCACACAGCTGCTCTTAAACAGCATGCCAGAAGGACGGGAGATGCATCCAGTGAATGTATGAGGTACAAATACGACATTCTTTTGTGTCAGATGTTGTAGGAAAGCAACATCCAACACTGCGATGAACTCCTGTGGTACCTAACAATCTCGGGGAGCGGTGAACTTTGAAAGAGACACTTTTTTTCTGCTTTCATGTCAACTCCTTCTCCTCCAACTTCCAGCCATTTTAAATTCTCTGGAAGTTGGTTTCGCTTCGAAAGACTAAATCCTCCAAAGAGGAGTAAATATAAGAACAGGATGGAACTCATTTGCAGTCTTGACCAGTGCAACTATGCATTCCACAGTCCAAAACCAAAGATGGATGGATGTGGAATTTTCAAACGAGATCTAGCGTTGATCTCACCCGTGACGAAACAAGGTACACATACAGGGTGCCGTACTAAAGAAAGTGTAATGGAAAAGGACCTCAAAAAGAGAGATGTGTAAAGCACTTAGACTTCCTGTGACCAAAAGCCATCAGCCAAAGCAATGGCCCAAACTTTCACCCGACAAACATCTGGGCTCGTTTTAGTTTCGCGACCCCACAAAAAAAAAAGAGCATTAGGGAACGATGTACATCCCTCCTGATGCCAGTCTATAGATGGATTAATGCCATTGTGAGGTCACACTTACTGCTGTGGGAAAGACATGTTATCCTGAATTGTACAGAAACATGCTCAAGATGAGAATATACTGAAGATTAAATAAGTGGTACGTTTTGTTAAATGTAGTTGCACGAGTTAAAAATCTTTATTACTGAACAAAATGTGACTGGCTGACTCGGTGGTACTTTTGTTCATTTTTTTCTGTTTGCTGTGTATTCCAGTTGTAATAATCGTGAGCCCCAATCTTAAATACCACTTCAGCATATAAATGAGAGAAAAAAAAATATTTATAGGGATTTGTTTGCTGTAGTTAGAACAACGAAATATTAAATTGTCCTTAAAATTGATCCCAAAGAACAATACTTTTCTCTTTGTTGCAGGGAAATGGAAGGCACAAAGCTCTTTATGCAAATCTTTGAAATTGTTTTTCTTTTTAAATATGTAAACAGTTAAAATCGTCTCTAGATTTCGCATCAATGTTTTGTCTTCATCCTATTTTTCTATTCTCTGCTGGGTGAAATAAATCCTATTGAAAACTTGCAGATGCACGTTCCTCTTTTTATTTTTGTCTGAGTAATGTTTATTTCCAAACTCCTCCACAGTAGGGCAGGGAGTGGCGGCCCCTGTGGATGGTAAATCCCCTGGTTAGGGGAGGGAGTGTGTGGAAGGTGGGAGCAGGGTTCAGGTCAACAACAGCTGTCAAGAGCGTCAAGTTCAGTCACAGGCCAGGGCCCGTGGCCCCTGCCTAACCCAAAGAACAACTGACTCTCAGGGACGTCCGCCATTCACCCCTTAAAAAAATCTTTTTACTGCACCCGTGACTGTCAGCGCCAGGTGCTGCATGTGACTGTGCTCCAAGTGATAGACGAGTAAACCCGTTACCCAGACTTGCACAAACACAGGCATGATGAATGCGGCAGCTCTAGTGCAAACTGAATTTACTCTAATGCAGCCCAGCTGTTCAGTCACGGTGGCCTGAATTTAACGTTGCTTGACGTTCTGAATGGCACCTCAAGCTGGGAGTGATGGAAAGAACAGAACACAAAATATGTGTGCTCATACTCCCATTATGCAACAGGAAAGATGCTTCAGCCATCAACAACAGCTGTCACACGCAGTTGTGAGCATAAGAGAAGATGATTTTAAAAAGTTAAAGGAATAAAATGGTTACCGTTTATTGACCCTTTGAGGTGTTCCAAACCTTTGACTTTCTTTCATGAAACATAGTGTCCAGCACAATTACAGTCAATGAGGACTTTGAATATAGCACACATATGAACAACTTTTATAGTGTTGCGGCATCCTTTTTAAAGTCTTCTTCTGACAGCTTATGTTAGGTTTGAGACAGACCTAAATTAGTCATTGTGAGTAGCCTTCCTCTCCAGTGAACTGTATTAGTCAGTTGAACTCGAGAACGAGATCGGTTTAATTCCTAAACAAATCATTCAGACTTGTGAACTGGATAAAACAACTTAATTGAAACGAGTCAAAAACTTTTTTTTTTTTTTTTAAATAAGCACAATTTAAATTTTTTGACACTTCTAGCAGAGTAGTCTTTCTTAAACAATTTCCTACAGCACCACTAGAGCCGTGTGGAGTTCTGGCAGCTTAAATGCTGCTTTAAAACATTTAGAAAAAGCCAAGCGGTTTCAGAAAGTGACGTGAAAGCACTGAAGGGGAGAGATATTTTGGCGAGAGAACAGGCTGCTCTCTGTTTTCCTCTCTTCCTCTCTCCCCACCTGGCAGTGGATGATACGAGCGTTTGGCAGCCTGGTGCTCAGGGCCGACCCCGTGCTTCCACCTCCCGCCTCTGGCCTACCCCATTCACCACCTCTAACACAAGCAGTGCCCTCGGCACAACAATGCAACATCTCCAAATACTGAGGTGAAAAAGATAGCCTTTAGTTTTAAAACAAAGTTCAGATTTCAGAGTTTTTAATAAGGTCTTTAATTTGACAACCTTATGAAGTGTTAAGAAGATACATTTTTGTTTCAGACTTTATAAAATAGAATGGTGCAAAAAAAGAAACGTAGTTACTACAACAGGGGCTGTACATGGCTCTTAAAGGAACAGTTCGCATAAAACATTTAATTTCTTGGTGAGCTTTCCTTTAATAACAGTATAAATCATGTTTGGATGTGAAATAGGAAAGTCCCTCTGATGTAACTTTACTCCTGTGACTTTAGTCCTGATCAGAGAGCTCCAGGTCCTCAACCATATCATCATCTCCCTCAGCCACCACCTTCAGCTCTGTGCTCAACATCTTCTTTGGTGTTTTGCCTTTAGAAGACGAGGGCTTCTTCTGGTCACCATCTGAGACAATCAACAAAAATTGGGAAAAGATACATGACATGCTACATACAGTTAAGATGATTGAAAAATATGAGCAAAATTATGTTGAAAACATAAACAGAGGATATTCCTCAGACATGCAACATAGTGAATATCTATCCCTACAGAGCCAATCCTAGCGCATTACAGAAACATATAATCACCTGAATCATCCTCCTGAGAGTCATCAACATCTTCTTCATCGCTCAGGTCTGAGAGATCCTCACGGCCTTCATCATCCTCATCAGAGCCACCCTGTTCTTCTGTAAAGAAAATCAGATAATGTCTTCAGAACAACATTCATTAGCCTTTCTCCAAATGCCCTGACAGATCTTACAGATACAGAGGAAAGGTGAACATATTGATGACATTTGCATTTTAATGTCAACATAAAAATTTAAATAGTCCATTCCTTATTCATTGGTGCATGTTAATCCAAATAAGTTTATCTTCATAGCTTTAAACTTTCAAAATTAGTGATGAGCAATTTATGTTTTTTAACGTAGTTAACCCAAAACTAAGGTTGAGCACAGTGATTTTAATTTTTTGGGTAACACGTCTCCAATCCAAAAATCACAATAATCTTTGTGCATTGCTACTTTTGATATGAAAAAAAATCTCAGCAAATTTAATTTTAGGCCAAAAATAAATTTTAATCATAAAATTTAAAACAATAAATGTTATTTTGGCGCTCTTTAATGTGTCTTAAAGACTACTTAATCTGCCTCGGTTTCGAGCCGCGCATGAACCAACCATCTCTTCCTCTTTACTATTAGCTGTAGCACAAAATAAACATTAATGAACATCAATAAATAAATAAATACAGAAAGAAAAGATACAGAAAGATAGTGCAATTTACTGAACTGTATCATGGGTGATGTCATCACTCAAGTACTTCAACCGTGGAAAGACGACAATAAAACAGCTTGTGAACAATGTCATGTAATTTACCTGAGGAAAGCCATTCAATGTTCACAAACTTAGTAAGCTAGAAAAAATAATTCCAGAGAGGAGTATTCTACAAAATATATGCACTACATTACATTTTCATTAACATATTTACTTAACCAGTTAGTGATGTCTTCATTATTTAGTGCATGTTTAAACATGAATACACGTTATTACAAACAGTTTAAATGTTTACATCTCAACAGCAAATTGAAAACATGATTATATCATTAAACAGTTGCTATAAGAATTATAGTAACTGTTTAATGATATAATTAGGTTTCCAATTTAAATATTTGTATACAACTCAGTTTTAATTTAATTGTTGATTATTAAATAAATTTGATTAACTGAATTAAATGTGTGGGGGTTTTTTTGGTTTTCGACAAACTAAATTTTGGTGTTTCGGTAAGCTAGAAAAAATAATTCCAGAGAGGAGTATTCTACAAAATATATGCACTACATTACATTTTCATTAACATATTTACTTAACCAGTTAGTGATGTCTTCATTATTTAGTGCATGTTTAAACATGAATACACGTTATTACAAACAGTTTAAATGTTTACATTTCAACAGCAAATTGAAAACATGATTATATCATTAAACAGTTGCTATAAGAATTATAGTAACTGTTTAATGATATAATTAGGTTTCCAATTTAAATATTTGTATACAACTCAGTTTTAATTTAATTGTTGATTATTAAATAAATTTGATTAACTGAATTAAATGTGTGGGGGTTTTTTTGGTTTTCGACAAACTAAATTTTGGTGTTTCAGTACATCACTAGTCAAAATTCAATGAATTGGTCTGCCTCTGAAATTTCCTTTTTTCCCACTGACATCACAAACTCCTCTTCTCACTCTGTAAGTGAATACTAAGTTTTATAATATAACAACATTTAACATTTTCAAGACCATCTGTGAACATGAATTCCCATTAAACACACTCAACAGAAAGAGCTTGAATGATTCTAGTGGAAGCATTCGTCTAGAGACTCGACTACGCCACAGCTGACCTACCCATGCTGCTCACGCATAGGTTACTATTTACATGAAAAAAATAGAGGCTAGCTTCTGACGGCAATTTAGCCTTCCTAATCCAGAGGTGTGTGTGGGAGTGTCTCGTGCTCTCTGAAGAGGAAAAAAAAATTGTTTCAGTACATCACTAGTCAAAATTCAATGAATTGGTCTGCCTCTGAAATTTCTTTTTTCCCACTGACATCACAAACTCCTCTTCTCACTCTGTAAGTGAATACTAAGTTTTATAATATAACAACATTTAACATTTTCAAGACCATCTGTGAACATGAATTCCCATTAAACACACTCAACAGAAAGAGCTTGAATGATTCTAGTGGAAGGATTCGTCTAGAGACTCGACTACGCCACAGCTGACCTACCCATGCTGCTCACGCATAGGTTACTATTTACATGACAAAAATAGAGGCAAAAATGCTTCTGACGGCAATTTAGCCTTCCTAATCCAGAGGTGTGTGTGGGAGTGTCTCGTGCTCTCTGAAGAGGACGGGTTTGAAATCCCTGAGCTTTGAAGTGGGATTTGATTAGATGCTGCCTGGGAGGTGAATGGCAGCACAGATACCTCCCCAGCCAGACACCCTCCACCCTAATTACCCAGCACACACTGGAGCCAGCCAGAGGGGGAGCCGAGCTTAACACCAGGCGCACACCTTGCTGCTGAGGCGAGCCTCATGCATCTTAATATAACCGGCGACCAGCTGACCAGAGAGTTCAGAGAGGGTACAGAAAGTCCACCAGGAGCACGAGGCAAAGACTTTAACGACTGCCTGTGGGCTGATCAATACATTGAAAATGTAAAAATCAAAAGACACAATCTACATGTTGCTCTGAGCACTGAAAACAGCCATGACAGAAACACTGAAGCTAAGGGTGTTTACAAACTCTCCACTTTGGAGATGGAGAAACCTCAAGTAAAGTCTTTGAGAACGTTGAATGCATCACGATCTGGCACACTGCGACAACAAAAGAAACACGACTCAAGAATATTAATGGGCCAAAAGCAGACCAACTCAGCAGGTAGTGAAGCACACCAAAACTTCAGAGACAAACAAACTAGAAGTTGGGAAAAGTCATCAAACTACCTCAAAATAGTGACAGCAATGGATACAGCACATTAATTGGACAATATTGGGCAATTTGGGTTTATTGGAGCTTGAGTTTGAATAAAATGATTGCAATCTGTTTCTCTCTTTCCTACTGAGGTGGATGAATGAACTATACATTTTAAAAGTGTATGGAATTACAGAAAAATGATCAATGATTGGAGTCAGTAAGATTTTTAAATATTTTTGAAAGAATTGTCTTATGCTCACAAAGGCTTTATTTATTTGATCAAAGATAGTTAAAACAGTAATATTGTGAAAATTTATTCAAATAACTTTTGTATTTTAATATAATTAATATATAATTTTTGTAACATTATTTATTTACTGTACTTTTGATCAATTTAATGTGTCCTTACTGAACAAAAGTATTAATTTGTTTAAAATTAATTTTTAAATCATATTTCTAAATGGTAGAGTTGGTGATTACATTTTTTTTTTTTTAATTTGTGAAATGAAATGTGCAAAAAGGTTTATATCAAAAAATTTTAAAAATAAAGTAATAATAATATTACTAAAAAGGGATATTACTACTATAAAAATATATATTTCTAAAATATAATGGACATTCTCTGTTTTCATGTTTTAAATCAAATATTGGGCACATTAAGCTAGCTAAATTGTATTTATATTTGTATTATACTGCCCATCAGCAATTAAGTTAACTAAGTTAACCTTCCTCAAACTCCAAACAAACTCCAGCACCAGTTGTGCTGTCGGATATTACAGTCAGAACCTGTAATAGCCTAGCATCCAGGGTATGGACAAGTAAATATTAGTATGTCATGTAGTAGTCTCTTCCTTCCACTCTCGTCCTTTCCTATCCTCTTTCTCACTACAGCGACGACTCTTACGGTCATACCAGCCGCTTATACTAAATCTCTGCCATGTGACTGCCATAAAACCAAAAGTAGAAGTGAAAATGTCTTAATCAAAAGTGTTGAAAAGTGATATTATTTATTGGCTCGGTAAAGGAGTAAAAAAGAACAACAAATCAACAACAAACAAGGGCTTTTAGTTTGACAATATGCAACCGGGACCACAAATTAATATATTAGAGGTCACGTGACTGTGTTCTTCGGGTCTAAGCGCTGGAGGTATAGGGCCAGTTAAGCCGTGTGGTGAAGGAGCGGCCACTAACATCTTTCCAAGCAAATGTTTTGAATTACAAACCCCCACTGGGATCCAAGTATGCAAAAAAAAGAGCTTCCTGTAAGAGAGAACGGAGTAAAAGAGAGCGAGAGACAGAATGAGAGAGAGGTAGGGACTCCACACAATGAGCACCAGATGTAAAGAAGAAGAAAAAAAAACCTTCCTCTCGCCTCCCACCTCTATGGGACTTTTTCTGTGGCTGTCGGCCTGTCGGCTCATGGGCGGGAGGAGTGGGAGAGTGTGGCATGTGTCCGACATATGACCCAGCACACAACTCCAGATATAGAGTTAGAGGAGAGGCAAGTGCACGTCTGACAGCTGACCTGCCCTCCACTGAGATTCATTCAAAGAGAGAGAGAGTGAGAGAAAACGAGTAGCGATGTTGGACTCACACATCTGAAATGGATTTATTTTGTGCATTTTTTTGTTTTTGTGTTAACTGTCATATAATATTTAATTGTTTTTGAATTATGTTATACTGTTTCCTGTTTTTATGGAAATGCTTCTAAATATTCAATATCAACATCAAATATTTTTTATTACAATTTTTCAAAGCCAACATGAAATCAAAATGATCTGCACATATTATTGGAATATATGAAGAATATTTATCTTTATATACAATCTTTCATCAAAATGATTAACCTAGCTCCACCTCTAAAAAAAAACTTTTCCCTTCAGCTGACATCAAGCACTCTTATTTTTCAGTCCCTCCCATCTAATCCTGTCATATAGAGACCACTTTTACAATCAGTTGAATAAAGTCCCTTAAAAGTTGTCCCTTAAAATGTGCTTAAAATGTACCCACCTTAAGGCACACAAGATGCAAATGAGTTTTTTCAATTGAACATATTTGGAGAAGTTCAGCAATACATCACTTGCTCACCAATGGATCCTCTGCACTTGAATGGGTGCCGTCAGAATGAGTTCAAACAGCTGATAAAAATGTCACAATAATCCATAAGTAATGCAAGTAATTCACAAACTGCATATTTGTAATTAGTCAATAAACAAATTAAGATGTTTTTAACTTCCAATTGTTGCTTTTGGCTAAAATACGAGTCCTTTATCCATATTTCCAATATTGTTTTCTCCAGCTTAAAGTTAAAATGCCTTAATGGTGGATTTGTGTCTTACAAACACAAAGCTTTTCACTTCACAAGGAGTTAACTGATAAGACTGGTGTCATGTGGATTATTGTGATGATTTTATCAGCTGTTTGGACTCTCTGACGGCACCCATTCACTGCAGAGGATCCACTGGTGAGCAAGTGATGTAATGCTACATTTCTCCAAATCTGTTCGATGAAGAAACAAACTCATCTACATCTACACACAAAAATTTCCAACAAAATTTGGGTGAACTATTCCTTGCTATATCCTTCCTATATTGTAAGCATTACCATAAAACAGAGCTACAATAAAGTTGCACTTCAATAGATCTGTTGAGTTTATACTTTGTTTCAGAACTCATCTCGGAGATGAGAATCTTCTGACAGCGCAATGCAATGAACTACAGCCTCCCAGTGACAAAGAAAGGCATTACAGGAAAACAAAACTCTAGGAAATCTTTCCCATTGGATGTTTAACAAGTAGTTTATATAGTAATTTGGTTTATACATTAGTTGCAATCAGGGATGTCAGTGATTAATCGATGATCGATTAATTGTCGATAAGAGATGCAATCGATTAAAGCTATCGATGGTCGATTAAGCAGTTTAATTTTGGGCTGCGTGCGGCTCATGCGCAAAGCACATGCGAGCGGCTGTGGGTGACGGTATATAAATGCATCATCATTCATTCATAATGTACCAATTAAGCTTTTAATGTGATTTAAACTTTAAAAGTACATTAAAATAGAAACAACACAAAGTTCTTCAACAAGGAAAGCAATAGAAATGTAGTAATTAAGTCATTTCCCCAGATAATTCTTTCATATCGGGCTCTGCGCTTTGCAGGGCTGTGGGACACAGGACAGATAGGTTATTCATTCCTACAACTTGTTAATTCATTCCTACAACTTATTAATTTGTGGCTGTCCATGTTTCATTAATTTTGTTCCTTAACCCATGATAAAACGGTGATTAAAAGTGAATGACAATAAAATAAACCTGCGAAATTAGAGGGTTAGACGGTGAGGATTTAGGAAAAGAAACAATGCCTAAATATTACTGAATTTGTGGAAATTCGTGACCAACCGGCAAACCAGAACAAAGCCGCGTGAATGTAGGCTATATGGGCTCGAACGGCATCCAAAAGCATGGTCGCGATGTAACATTTTCCAGCTAACCAATTATTCCTCTAATAAACAGCTTTTATACCACACTTGTCATAATCAGAGCTTATAATTACTGGATTCAAAACCGCAATTAAAAGGCGCTGTGACCCTGACACTGACTACGTTTTCCCGGAGCATTCAATGATGTCACTAAACGGTGATGCCACAACTAAGAGCATCGTTCACAAGTTTCTGCATGGACCTAACTAGCCTAGGGCACAGGTTTTCAAGCCCTGGGACAAAATGGGATGCTTTAAGGAAAATGTATAGCCTATGTAAGCAATAGGCCTAAATAAAAATAACAATTTGTTTTCATTAAAAAAAAAAGCTAAATATATCTGGCTTAATTAACTAACAGATTTAAAACAGAAGTGTGGCGCGGCGCTCCATAAACAAGTTCACGGAAAGAAAAGGATGACAACGCGCAATTCTGTTTGTTTGATTTATTTTACAAAAGCACAAATCTTCTGTTTTTATTGTGAGTGTGCAAAAATAAAAGTAAACATTTTTGCGGATTATATCTTACTCCAAAAATTCAGTTTTTTAATGCTTCAGCTGTTCGATCACACCGGCATCTCACGCGCACACACCCCACATATTCTAGCAATTCAAACTTACATCGCAGTCTGTTCATTATCA